GTAATTGCTACTTATCATTAAGCATACTGCTTAACTCTTGATTATGTTTGGAAAACTGCTAGAAAGTTTAACCATTTGATTGATTAGAGAATACTGGGTGTGAAATGTTACTGTTTGATGCATTCTATTCTAGAATCTGTGGATAGTGTTAACTTCTTAAATTTACTTGGCTTTCGTTAAGTTAGCAAATACCCTAACTTTAAATGTAAGAAAGGTTATTCTATTAAATTCCAACCATATCTATTGAAAATATTCTCAGCAAGGCTGAGTGGTAGGACATAGTCTTTTCCCTCAGGTAGTTGATAATTTCAAGACAGTGGCTCTGGCAAATGAGTATAAACAAGTGAATGCTCACAGAAAGAGAAATGAGTTGAAAAGAATGAAGGTATTGTACATCATGGAGTATTCCTGCCATTTAATCAAATATCTCAATCTTCCTTTCTAGCTTCCAGGAAGTTCAGGAGTTAGAGAATGAAGTAGGGCAAAGGAGAGAGTAAGAACAATAGTGCCATTAGAGATTATCAATTCAAAACCTTTTGACTCAGATTGAAGTTATTCGAAGCAGTCTCTGAGAGCCAACCTACAATAATGTTAAGGTCAATCTTCCAAATATCTTCATGGTATACATAGTAGAAATCTACTACTTAGGCTAGTTGTGGCCAAGCCCCTTAGTTCCTTCCTGGGAAGAAATGGCAGAGAGAATTCATAGGGAATTCATAGGGATTCTACCTGTCCATTCCTTTTTTTGTTTGTGATTTTCTCTGATCCACAGAAAAACAAGTGACTTTGTTTGACTTGTAAAGCAATGCCTTAACAAATCTGGTGACTTCAGCCTCTACTTTCTCCAGGATGTCCCATAGACTGGAGTCATATAGCTATGACTCCATATTTATAATCTATGGAGGAGGGGAGGCCACAACTTCCTCTCTATGTAAGAATCCTCCTGAAGGATTGTCCCGGAGGAGAATCATGGTCCTGAGAGGGCAGCAGCATTATTAGGTTATTGAAAGACTTTGCACACTGCAGTTCAGTTGATCTAGTTTAGAGTCGGCAGCCTATAGTCTGTGGGCCAAGTCTGGCCCTCAGCATATTATTTATGTATTTAGCATAGAAGATGTAGGGCATAGGCCAGATGTG